AACCAGTAAAGGAGTTTATAATACTGGCATTGATGATCATTAAATCGTTATAAGTACAGCTTTAACATCTATTGAGATACTAAAATAATAACGCTAGAGTAAGAAGTTTGATGAATGATTTTTTGAGTATGTGGAGAAAAACCTCTGAAATCACGATACTGTAATGTGATGTGACGTTTCACTAGACTTACGGTCAGTTGCACAAACGTCCATTAAGGTTTAATCAAGCGTTTAATTTCTAATGAATGTCAAATTTATATGGGTAATGTCGCTTTAAACTAATGACAATCTTAATAAACGTTTGGGCAACTGGCTATCAGACATTTGTTTTAAGAATTAGTTACTGGCAGCTTTAAAGTAGAATATTTCAAATATCGATTCGAGTTTCGTTTCAAAACAAACGGGCACGTACTTACAAGTATATTAGAGATTGTGATAAAATTTTACTTATTGCAAATAAATTAAGGTACTTGAAAATATATGCGAAAGGCTACACCCTTAATCTAGTTCCGAACGTGCTACATCCTCGATCCAGTTTCATAGGTGCCATATCTCAAATCTAGGATCATTTTGTACTTTTGATGGGGTACACAAGAGCCATACTCTGCCTCTAGTGTACCCCAGTACATTAGAGCTAGTGCTAGAGCTAGTGAACCAACCAAGAGTACGGAACGACACGATTATAACGTCGATCAAAGGCGACTGCGTTTAAGAGTAAGTATGCTAGACAGGAATCGTTAGGACTCTACAGTGCCAAGTTGATTTTTTAAAAGTTATTTCGGATGGACTTCATTTTTATCCGATTACAATGCAGACGAGGCCGTACGGCCTAGTTGATTGATATAGGTATTGAACCATATTTGGTTATGATCTTACTTTCGTCAGCGTAGTGGTCTTGACCTTCGTTGGCAAATGACTCAACGCTACTTGTCGGTTCAATGCTAAGTGTAGATTCGTAAAACTTGTAGTATTCGTTGAAATTGAAATGACTAATTTTGTATTTTTGCAACACGTCAGATGGAGATTTAAATAAATAATAATAAATATTGGTCAACATAGCACACATAATTCCTAGATAAGTAAAACCCACGTACTATGGAATATCTGAAACAGTGAAGGTACCTACCACAGTACCCAGATCCGAGACAACATAGAAAACTTTATTTCCTTCAACTGACCATGAATCAAGCTCGGAACCTCATTGAACCAGCTGCCCTGCACTTGCAGATCGTCAATCTTTTCTTTCTGCCTTTTATAGTAGTATAGTTCCTATGAACGAATGCAATAAGCCCTGACTGACTGCAATAAAATTTGTAGCAATTGTAAAAATTGGGATTTCAAAGCCAGAACTGATACGTATCTACCTATAAATGGAAACTAAACCTGCTACCTACTGATAATATAAATGTGAAAGTTATTGAGGATGGCATATGGTTGTTACTCTTTCACGCAAAAATTACAGTACGCATTTTGATGAGTATATGGATAATTCTAAGACTGGGCTAATATACAAGTTATTTTTGTCCCACTAAATGCTTCCTTAAGGGGAAAATTATCATCAAGGAAACATGTAACCAAGCGGGTGAACCGCTGACAGAGAGCTACTAAAACTATATGCCCACATGTTTCTATAATCAACATTCTGTTTATCTATTCAAAATTGATAATTAAAGTAGTAACCTCATTTTTATTAAAAGTACGCAATTAAATCACTTTACTAATAATATAGAATGAGTTAACATTTTTAATGAATTCGTTAATTATCATAAATATTTCTATTTTAAACAGAATTCTCCGCTGGCCGCCGTCACAAGTATGGTTATGAGACGAACGTTCTGTGAATTATTAAATAATTTTAGTGACACACAACATATGGTGGCAAATGTTTCATAATCCTTGTAGCCATATTACGTTGTGTAAATGGTTTGTTATACTGACGCTGTTAAGTAGAATAGAGTTGTTTTGTTTCCTTACATAAGTGAAAATAGTCGATACTACCAAAATTATTTATCAATGCTCATTTGTATTCGAGTTCTCAATCAAAATCAATAAGCGATATTATCAAAATTATACCTGCATAATTGAGCAAAAACAAATTCCCATGCTTTATTTATAACATTAGAATAGTGGTGATCTCACACAATTTCGTACTTCATGGAATAGGCTATGGGAAATGCATTTCAGATACTAGAATGTGGGAGTCTTCCCTGCAAACCCATCCTGAGAAGGGGGATCAATCCCATCCCATTGTCCCTCTCTATAGATGGCGATGCGCGAAAACAGCCCGAAGACTTCTTCTCGTGCGCTTCCCTACCACTACTTCAAGGTTGCCTCTCTCAAGATAAAATGTAGACAAGCACCCCAGACTGGACGAGAACATCTAATTCTCCGTTGATGCAGAGACATTCCGAGCTACACCCATCATTTCCGCTTTTCTATTTAGTATGCAAATAGAATCATCACGAAATGTATAAGAGTCTAATCACGAATAATTTTTCGATCCAATTGAATATCTACAACGAATGAGACATTGACATGTGCCGTAACACAATGCTTTTTTGTAATGTTTGCATCAACGAAACACCAACCTTACAGACACATTATCTGTACAGGCAGGTTGTAACACTAGTAAAGTAACTATAAGGAAATTTAACGAACCGTTAATTAAAAATCGCCACCGGCAAGCCTGGTGTTATGTCACCCATGCGACCTCGTAAAGGTCGACATTTACCACATCAAGTTTATAAAGGATGCAAATTCTTCAATGAAAACAGGTTTTATTACACATAAACTTAAAATAAATTTTTAATCAGATTCGTAAGTCGTGAATAATGTCAAGTCAGACAATTTTGTGAACATTAATCTACCTTCTTTAGGACTGGATAAATACAAAAAACATAGGTATAAGAAAACATTTATAATAGTGCAACTTTCATGTTAGAATTTCCATCATGACTAAGATTCGTAACCCCATATGTTTCTGGATTACTTAACCAGTACAGTAAAAGTAGAGTTTGAATCAAACTCAATTATTGAACATAGTATAGAAGTGGAAAAAGTAGATCAAATTGTCAAACTACCTTTTGAAGGTTTGTGAAAGAAAGAAGAATGTGGAAGAACGCATGAGAAGGGTACAAAATTTATATTCCCCAATTCACAATATATCCTAGTACTAAAATTTTTAAAATAGGCTTAAAAATTCCTATAGTTACAATTGACATTGGTCCGATAATAAAAGATGTGCAAGAACGAATCATATGGAAAATAAATTTAGTTGCACATGACTTACGTTACCATATCCATAACGTTTTGCTAAGCCATGTGTTCCGTTTCAAGAGCTTATGGCCTTGCATCAACATCCCAAGGACCATTATAGATATGTCATAATAGCAAGTTCCTCTCGAATTAAGTGCATTATTTATCAGAATAAGTGCAGCATGGTCACTACAATGTTCTTAGGGTTCCACACCTCATAAGGAAAAAACCGAACCCTTATAGGATCTGTCAATTATCTATTTATCTGTCACAGTTGATTTTCTCCGACACAACTGGACAGATCGAATTGACATTTGGTACACATAATGTAAACTCAAAACATAAATTATTTAATTTTACGCATTGCTAATTGGACACAAATTACCTAACATACACAGATAGGTATTGTGTCCCAGCATGGTGTGTCCAAAAGGCTCCAGCTCGACATAAGCCACAGATAATACAGTTATGTGTGACTTATGTCGAGCTGGAACCGTCGACTTTCCGCTGACGTCTATATTTTTTTGTATTTTAAAGTTATTTAATAAATTGGCGAAAATTTACTATTGAAGACCACATCTTTAAATTTCTCTCAGTATGAAGCCAAAATAACTTACGCTAAGTTGGAAGAAATCTTAATAATTTTAATTCTTGATAAGATAATTTCAAACGACAATCTGCCGATTACTAAATTCACATACTTGATTATTAATTTTATAAATATTAACGTATCTCAAAAGTTAAATACCTTAGTTGACTAGCTAGATAATTTGCAACACTGTTACGTGGGTCGAACTGCGCTTAAACGCTTCTCCAAGTACTTATCCAACAGGCTTTCAAGCAAAATCTGCCCACGGGAATGCTTTAGCAATATAATTAGTACTAGAACCAAATGTTGTGACAATATAGATACAGATAAAACGAATAAATGGTATTTTTACAAAATTGGTGATAAAAAGAATTTCAAAGAGTTACCTAAAAATAAAACATATTGTATTTTCGCAAATAAACACTAAGCAAAACTCAGATTATTAAAACGCACATTTTTAAGGACGCTGCAGATCCTTTACGGTATCCTTTTTATTAAAGTAAATCGAAATCAGAAATATAATGTAACGTCGAAACTGTACACCGTCAGTGCAACAACTTTCACACGTTTTAAGAAACTTAATGTCCCAGTTAATGACTGTTAAAGTTTCTAACATTATTAGGTATCCACCCACGAGATCTTCCAGGAATAGACGCGGACGTCATAAAAGAAGCCAGAACAAAACCGCAAACTAGTTTAAATGATACTAATAAAAGTATATTAACTAACAAATTCAATAAACAGACTGACTTCATCAACAATTAAAGACTCGTCCATTATTTATTATGCTGATACAAGGTACAAAGCAAAATATTGACTGTAAACATCTATTTAAATAATTGTGTTGACACATAAAAACAGTTCTAGCAACACTTCCAAAAATAACAGGCTGGCAAGAATCACCAGGATGAAAAAAAGAGACATGAGCTCTTACAGTAACTTCTGTTACTTCATGTAAACCAGAGGTAAATAAACAATATGGGTGCTACTATTGATACACATTGAAATCAAAATATTTACAGATACATTGAAACGTTGCACAGGAATAACAAATCGAAACCTTAAGCCTTAACTTCTATGTACAAATATAAACCATTCACGAATTCACATGACAAAAAATAAACTACTTAAGTAATTATTGAAAACAAATACTCACAGCCGGGCGATATTCCGTTCTCCTTCATAGCGCAGCGGAATGGATAATAAGTGCCTGGCAGCACCTTGCCGTACATTGTCCGATCCATCTTCGACCAATCGTGAGCTTGTTTTTTAGAAATAAAACACCCACTAGTTCAACACTGAGATCAAACCGCCATAATCACAGCCTACACGTAAACCGAGTAAACACCGACCTACGCCAAAGGAAAATGCAGAAAACAGTTGCATACAACTAACATTTGAATATTAATTCGATCCGAACACACGGTTTTACTGAAAAATCTAGCGATCCAAGGTATAATGAATACTGTATAAACATTCAATCGTCGACATTATCGAAGATTGTGTGCGTTAATCGATAAACGCAGTGATAAGTGATAAGGCAAGGGCGAGGTCACGTATGAGGACGGCCGTGCGGTGAGCACCGAGTTGAGTATTCGTCAACACGTCCCAATCACAACTGAAGTCTCTTGGTGTTTACCGTCGCTAATGCCGGCACACGCCACTCCAGCCAGCCTCACCGGCTGGAAATTATTTATACGCGGTACGAGCACAGTTCAGGTGCATTCGTCAAAATCGACCTATTGTTCCGAAGAGTATATAATAAATATGTAACACAGCTTGTATTTCAACGATGTATCAAATTTCAAATAGTAGATTCCGATAGGTACACGAAGGAATATTCACAGCAAACAGCATAAAGTAATTTAACCATAAAGAATTCTAAGAACACTGAGGATTATCTAAAGCTGCTTGAAAGTGCGATCAATCATCGTGAATAGTTATTCTAATTTCGTAGTTATCCTACCAAAATTCCCACTACATCCGGCCGCGAAGTGATGCCCGTGAGTTTTCTCCGACGACGTTTCCGGCTCGACACAACGCCCCATTCTCAAATTTACGATGCCCATTAGAAAAAATTTCGGCGTCTATTCCTTTGATCTATTCTTTAAAACATTTCACAGTACTTATATCTGATACTAAGAAATACAATTCGTTTTTCTAGCCATTTCAAATATTTCACCCTTGCAATTTTAACTTAGAAACATTACAAGTATACGAGGTTCATTAAAACTGCATTTTACAGCGTGTCCGTTTTACGATCTTCCTAACTGTACCATTGTTCCCGTCCCGTAGCTTCTAATAAGGAAGTAAATATTTGTGCTGGTCTCCGGCTTGTTCAACCCACTTACATGTAAACGCAAGGATCCATCATGACATGACTGAAGCCACTATGCTAATATAAAATAGTTCTAAACACGCTTACAATCATACTGTGTTCTGAACCTAAAAAGCATAATCAAAATAAAGTTTCCCAAAATGAATTTTTGGGAATCTCCTAATTGGCCTGAAACCAGTCTAACATTTACTCAATACATTTAGCGAATTAACACTAACCGGCACACTAATCGGAGACTCACTCAACACCTCCCGTTAAATGCTAATTTATGATAAATATATAAATTCAATCAATGGTATGCCATCACAGAAAGAGGTTAGACATGAACCCGCTAGTACGACAGGCATTGAATCAATGCCAAGATCTAACAAGAACGAGATTGGCTAGGGTGGAATTACAAGCAACATCAATGAGCGACCATCGAATGTTTATGATGACATAATCTGTAGCACTATTTACTTAATTTAAATAACTACTAATTCACCTTGACTTTGCGCGTGTACAGATAGGCAAATCCACTAAATTAAAAACATTCTGAATATATCAGCTACTTTCCTTGGTCAACTAACTATTGAAGAGTATTTTTTTTTTCATTTAATTCGCGCTTTTCTATTCGTTCTGCTTTCGGCGTGCGACTAAAGCGTACGACTGACAGCTGTGGACGTAATACGCAACTCCTCACACCGTGCCTGTGACGTCACGGTGACCTCACTAGTGATGATAAAATCAGCTTATCTTGGACTATAATTCTTCATATAAAGTAATTTAGACCTGTCTCTCTACAATGTATGTTTCTAAATCAGCATATTGTTACGTGCGGATTCGTAACGAAGAATTTGAATGATGTTTTAGTATTTGTTAAAACAATAATGTTTTTAAACTTAAATATAAATAATTCCGAAATAATGCTCGATGTTAATTCATTTTGTATCCACGTTAATACATACCACTTAATTTAATTTAAAAAAAAATTACTATATCTTCTGTAAATACTCTCACAAACATTTCAACCCCAAAACGTCAAAAGATCTTAAATATCTATAAAAGAAACATACGTTTTAAAATGCATTCTAAATTTGAACTTTATAATATGGTGCTAGGTTTTTTACTACAACAAGTCCCGAATATAACCATGCGTTATATTTGGGACTCCTTAGCCTGTATGGGAAGGGTGTGTTCATGGCAAGTAATCACGCGTTACGTGTGGTTACGACACAGTTTAACAAAGCCGTACGATGTTACTTGGTTAATTAAATTGGGTGTGGGTACCAAATTAACTTCACGGGTATAACGCCGATAATCAGCCGTGACGTCATCATTGTAATAATAGGATAGATTTTCAGAAAAAGTACATCTGCGTTATTCGCTACATACAGTTGAGAGAGAGAGAGAGAGAGAGAGAGGAATTCGACATTTGAATTACACAGATCATCTGTTACTTTGCCGTCAATCATTCTAGAGAACCTACAGCAAGTTTTTAACTTCATTCTTTTTAAAAAAATTATTACAAATTTTAAATATACCCTATTAAATCCATCCTTCTTGTTGCATTTGCTTCGATATCGTAAGCCCCAGGTAGGGCTAAAGATCATTATTATGTAATAACCCACTCTATTACTAATATGGTGTGGCTTTTGGTAAAGCTTTCGGCAACGTAGTCATTGGATGTATACCTTTCTTATTAATACGTGTCGCGGGTCTGATAAGCACATGTATACTTCTTATTTCTTACCCTTTAATTTCTGGATGATGATAAATGTTGACTACTACAATTAAACTAAAATATTTGACGTTTTCCACTACATAAGTATATTTATAAGACTGCTTTTATGAAAGCAACCTAACAATTTTTGATTCAATTACAAAATTTTATCGTTTACATTGCTATCATTATCATTGAAAGATTTTTATTATATTTCACCTTTTTTGCATTGACAATGCTATATTTATAAACTATTCTTAATGAAATTGCAATAAAATGCTTAAAATCTACATTGTCCCTGGCACTCTGAGTTGGGACTCGAACCAATGACCTTATGTAATCCGGGCGACTGCTCTCCGGGCATTTAATGGAATAAATACCTGGATTTCGGAATTTCAATACTATTTAATTGCTTTGATAATTTCAATGCCACAACATGCTCTAAAAATAAAGTCTCCAGCACTTTAGAATAATTAATGGCCATTCACTCCTGAAGTGAAAGATCGGCATGCGGGGCTGTTCTATGTCAAACCAGCTGATGGGGGAAGGGAGACTGGCAGTATACCTCGTTTCTGAACAGATTTAAATTCCTCTGTGAGTTGTTGGAATGTTAATGATTCCCATTTTATGAGATAGAGAGCATTATTGAAGTGATTAATTATATTTTTATTTGGGTAAGTATTGGGCAGGCATTGGCATTGGCAATCTCGCACGTAGATTTGACGACTTCCAGCCTCCTGAACAAGCCGGTTTCCGAAAAGGTTACAGTACCATAGACCACATTCATACGCTGCGACAGGTTATACAGAAGACCGAAGAGTATAATCTGCCACTATGCTTGGCGTTTGTGGACTATGAGAAAGCCTTCGACTCCGTCGAGACCTGGGCCGTGCTTAGGTCACTCCAGAGGTGCCAAATAGACTATCGATACATCCAAGTGCTGCAGTCACTGTACGAAAATGCCACCATGTCAGTTCGGCTCCAGGACCAAAACTCGAAAGCAATACGACTTCAGCGTGGAGTGAGACAGGGCGACGTTATATCGCCGAAACTGTTCACTGCCGCACTGGAGGACGTGTTTAAGCTTTTGGACTGGAGAGGACTTGGCATCAATATAAACGGCGAGTACATGACGCACCTTCGTTTCGCTGATGATATCGTAGTCATGGCTGAGACCATGGAAGATCTAGGCACAATGCTCGAAGACCTCTGTAGAGTTTCCCAGCAAGTGGGTCTTAAAATGAACATGGAGAAGACAAAAATAATGTCAAACTCCCATGTCGTACCCACTCCAGTGAATGTTGGAGGCTCTACACTGGAAGCTGTCGACGAGTACCTTTACCTGGGACAAATAGTCCGATTAGGTAAGTCCAACTTCCAGAGAGAGGTAAGTCGACGGATCCAACTCGGCTGGGCAGCGTTCGGGAAGCTACGCAGTGTATTCTCGGAACATCTACCGCAGTGTCTCAAGACAAAAGTCTTTAATTCGTGCGTGTTGCCAGTGATGACTTACGGTGCTGAGACGTGGCCGCTTACGATGGGCCTCATAAGGAAGCTCAAGGTCGCTCAGAGGGCAATGGAAAGGGCTATGCTCGGGGTTTCTTTGCGAGATCGAATTAGAAATGATGAGATCCGCAGAAGAACTAAAGTCACCGACATAGCCCACAGAATTGCAAACCTCAAGTGGCAGTGGGCAGGGCACATCGCGCGCAGGACTGACGGCCGTTGGGGCGGTAAGGTCCTGGAGTGGCGACCGCGTACCGGGAGACGCAGTGTTGGCAGGCCCCCCACAAGGTGGACCGACGATCTGGTGAAGGTCGCGGGAAGCCGCTGGATGCGGGAAGCGCAGGACCGATCGTTTTGGAGATCTTTGGGGGAGGCCTATGCCCAGCAGTGGGCGTCTCTCGGCTGAAATGATGATGATGATGGGTAAGTATAATGAAGTCGGGTCATCAGGATTCGATCTTTACAATAGGTATATGAAAATCTTGTATTTAGGTATCAGAATTCAAAAGACATACATATTTATATGTGGTAAAAAGACAAGCATAATCGCGCATAGCATACAATACACCATAGAAAACACAAATCTATATATAGGAGTGCAGAAAAACGCGCGCGAGGTGCGATCATATTTGGGAGTTATAATTGGTGACTTCTAAATAGGTAATTATTGTCTTTCAAAATTTCCTACAATTCAAAGCGCCCTCCGTTTGTAACACATATATCATCATCATGAGCCGAATATCGCCATTATTACGCCACAAATCCTGCGTATTAAAAATAAAGATATACAAGAATAAAAGGACGAAACCAACTGGGCGGGTTGACTTTCGATTAGCCGACTAGCTGAACGCAACGTTATACAATACGGCTGAATAAAGGTCAGCCTACTAACTGTTAATTTATGAATACCGAAATTTATTTGTAGTATTAGAATAAAATCAAAATAAATAATATAGTAGGTGATTTTAAATAAAACAAAAACTCCTTGTTACGGTCTGTAATCGTTACAGATACAGGACTAATCAAAAAGATAATACCAGACTGCTTATTCGCGACTGGGTGTTAATGGTCCGT